TGTATTGAATACTGAAAATTTATATTATCCATAAATAAATTCACGACACAGTACAATAAATTATTTAGTGTTTTATTTATTTTTTTTTTAATTTAAAAAAATTCTTTTTAATTCTTTTTTTTTCAATGATTATCAAAATTGTGTAGTAATTTTTTTTCTCTTACATGTCGAATATAAATTAGAGGTTTTTAGTAACTTTACTGCTTTATATTTGCCACCATAAAATATTCTGCTGTGAGAAAAATTTTTACCACCTTTTCTTGTCACAGCGCATTACTTTTCTCTCGATGTAATAGCTGAAACCGTTAGAGAGTAATTTCCTTCTCATTTCACTGTCGAGCATCCATTTTCCGCAGGTTTTCATTCTTACGTCTATCTGTCTTTTTTACTTGACTTTTCAAGATATTCATCTGTGCATGAGATTTTTATATTTATTTTATGATAAATATTATATTTCAAAGAAACGATGTTGGTCTTTTATTTTTTTGTTTTATTATTTTATGGGCATATAAAGGAAGGAGAAAAAATTCTGTTTTCTTTCATTTCTACTTTATTTGAATTATTATTTATTATTTTATTTTAAAAAAATTTTTAAATCTATTTTGAAAATTTTTTTCTCTTTTACTTTATTTGGAAAAAAACGATTGTTTATTTTACTTGTATTTTTTTATTTAGAAAAATACAAATAATTTAATTTTTTTCGCTAGTATTCTCTTTTAATTCAAAATAAAAACAAAAAGATGATTTTTAATTTTTTTTTCTCTTTTTTCTGTACTATTTCATTCGGAAAAAAATACTAAGGATTTTATTTTATTTATTTTTGTCATAAAAGTAAATAAAGGATTTTTACATTTTTATTTTCAATTTTTTTTTTAATTATTTTATTAGAAAAAAGCAAACATGAATTTCTGTTTTCTTTTTACTTTTCTGCAATATTAATTTATATAAAAAACAGCTGTTTTACATTTTAACTTTTCTCTATATTATATTATTGGGGAAGTAAAAGGTTCTTTATCTTAATTTTTTATTTACTCCTTTTTATTTTATAATTGTTTTTCTGTACTAATTTCATTTTATTCGGAAAAAACAAAACTGATTTTGTAATTTTTTTTTTTTTACTTGAAAATAATTATAAAAGAAGCGCTTTTTTAATTTTTTCTCAATTCTTCTTTTTGTATTATTTTATTTAAAAAAAACAAATAATTTTTCTTATTTATTTCAACTATTTTTTGTAGCGTTTTATTTTAACTTTTTTCTGCAGAGCTTTTTAACTTATAAAACTGTTTTTTTATTTTCTTTCCTTTTCGTATTATTTTCTCACTAAAAAATTAAAAATTATTTATGATTGAGAAAATATTTTACGAGGTTTTTGAACGGTTTTTGTTTGTTCAACAAAAATAATTTTTAAAATTTATTTGAACCCAAAGTAAAAAAAAAAATGATTGAAAATAATATTTTCAATGAAATCAATTGAATAATTTCCAACAAAATTAAATTGATTTTTATAGTAATTATTTAAAAAAATTTTAATTAATTTATTTATTTGAATTTAAATAGTAAAATAGTAAAAACTAAAAAAAGGAAAAATCTTTTCTTAATTTAAAAAAGTGAATCGATAAAATGAATCATTTAATTTACTAAAAAGAAATAATATTAAATTGATAAGTCAAAAAATTATTGCTTAAGTGAGAAAGTGTTATTTATTATTATTAGCATTATTAAGTGAATTAAAATATGTGTCGATAAATTTTGCACTTAGAAAAGAAAAAGTGACGAAGCAATATAATGCTTCTTGACCCCATAACTTTGTGGAAATTCATCTATCTCTCTCATGACGCGCTCAATTACTCACTATGCATATAAACAGGGGGCGTCGTCGTTCTCATGCCCTATAACGTCAGGATGGTTAATTTGGTATGGGTTTGTGATGCGGTTAGCGCGGCTGAATTCGACTGGCCGTGATCCGACTTGGATCAGAGAGTATTTTAGTATTAAACCTACTCTCATCGGCGATCTTCTTATTAAACCGTCTCATCGAATCTCAAAACATTTCTCTCTTATATATATCTCAAAAGAAAATTTATCTTCAATATTTTTTGTCCCATCGAAATATTAAGACAAAATTTTCATTTTTTATTGCAAAAGGAATTTTCTTTTATTTTTTTTCAATTCCACTTGATTTCGATTTTATTTTATTTTCATTTTGTTGCGATTTTATTTTATTTCCTATTTATTATTGATTTTACTTTTTCAATTACATTTTTTTTTGTATTGATTTTTTTACGATTTTATTTCTCTTTTAATTTTTACTTTCAATTTTGTTTTCTATCAATTTTATTTTCTTTCGATTTTATTTCTTTTTACTTTTCCAATTCAAATTTTATTTTTTTCCGCTTTTATTTCTTTTTACTTTTTTAAATTTTGATTTTATTTCTTTTTATTTTTTTAATTTCAATTTTATTTTCATTCAATTCCAGTTCTTTTTACTTTTTCCATTTCAATTTTATTTTTTTTTCGAATTTATTTTTACTCTTTTTACTCTGTCATTTTCAATTGTATTTATTTTCTTTTTGAGTTCACTTTCTTTTTATTTTTTTTTTAATAAATTTAGTCTGCCTTTAATTTTGACTCCTTTTACTTTTTCATTTTCAATTTTATTTCCTTGTGATTTTACTTCTTTTTACTTTTCTTATTCCAATTTTATTTGCTTTCAATTTCAGTTTTTTTTTACTTTTTTAATTTTAATTTTGTTTTCTTTCAATTTTATTTTTCTTTACTTTTTCAATTTCAATTTGTTTTCGAATTTATTTTCTTATTTTTTCAATTTTAATTTTTCTTTCTTTCAATTTTATTTATATTCTTTTTTGGAGTTCATTTTCTTGTTAATTTTTCAATTCAATTTTGACTCATTTTACTCTTTCAATTTCAATTGTATTTTTTTTTTTTTTTTTGAGTTTGTTTTCTTTTTAATGTTTGCAATTAAATTTTCTCTTCTTTCAATTTTGACTCCTCCTACTTTTTCAATTTAAATTTTATTTTTCTGCAATTTTATTTTTTTTTTTTATTTATTCAATTACAATTTTTTCTTTTTTCGAGTTAATTTCCCTTTTAATTCTACACTTCATGTCAATTTTATTCAACTTTTCTTGAATCTCATTTCTTTTAACTTTTTTCATCCAAATTATATTTTTAGTCAATTTTTCAGTGGTTTTTTCCATTTTCTTTTTGGAAAATAAATTCGTGGGGACAAATATTGATGCGTTTTGAGAAATAGAAAAAAAAGTGTTGTTTGAAAATCAATTTTTTTCCAAATATGGAATAATGTGAAGGGTATTATTTTACGAAGGCGAAGTCTTTGTAAGTCTGTAATATTTGACAACAGTGTGTGTATATATATATATTTGACAAAAGTACTTTAAAGAAAATCGAGGAAGCAACGCGTGAAAAGTGTTTACCTCGCATCGATGTGTCGTCTTTCGCTGCAATGACTTTGCGGGATTTCTTCTCACCACATTTTCTTCTCAACGTTTCATTTTTTTTCTCTATTTTTTTCGGTTTTATTCTTTTTTTCATTTATCGTGAAAATAAGCCACAACATTCTATGACATTAATTCCCTTCGTTTATTTTACAAATAGAAAAATATTTTCCCTATTTTACAGGATTAATTTCCCTTCAAATTGTTTATAAAAAAAACAAAAAAAAATAGTAGTGCTTATTTTTATACACAATTTTAAAAAGAAATATTACAAAAACGATTTTAAGTAATTTCAATTTTTTTTTATTTATTTTGTTTGTTTTTTTTTTTGCTTTAAAATCGATTTTAACTCCAATTTTCAGAACGATTTTGAAGATTATAAGGAACAATGGTAGAAACGGACGTTTAATCGTAAAACGATTGTACAATGAGAAAAAAAAATTAAAATAGAAAAATAATTTTTTTTTTCAAAAAAAAAAAAAAGAAAGTTGAAATTCTATAGCTTTTTCGTGTATCAGTGAACATATATATATACATTTTGCCAAAGAGTCAAAGGCACCGGATATATATCCAGAGGAAATCCGTTGGGTTGTAACATTAGGATGATCAAAGGATAGGGGAACAAAGATTACAAGAAGTTTGTCAGAAGGGAATGGTGCATTACGGATGTGCGAAAACCGACAGCGGTGGATTCGAGTGCTTCGTCGAGTTCAGTGAGAACTTAAGTTATTTAGCCATATCCTTTGACACAAGTAAACAGAAATTATATATACCGCCACTAATTCACAAATTTACATTTTCTAATAAAAATTCGTATCGAGAAAATTGCAATCACAACGTTTTTCTAATAAAAAAAAAATTTTTTTTTTCTTGAAATTCTAAATTTACAAATTGTTCAAATTTACACTCTTTTAAATTTTAATTAGTAAAAATATTTTTTACTAAATTGAATTAATGACTGATTTTTTGCTTTTGAATTAGTAAATTTTACTAATAAATAGTAATTTCTACTAATTTATTAGTAAAATTTGCAAATTCTCGATGGCTCGATTGGTTCAACGGCTAGATTGGTACTGAAAAAAGGGTTTTCGATCGAATCCTATCACTGGTGGAAATTGTTTTTTACAATTGTAATTTAAATTATCTTAATTTATTATCTTAAATTAAAATTTCAAAAGATTTTAAATTGTAATTTTGTAAATCAATTAAATTTCGACTCGCAAAAACTAAAAAAAAAAATATCAAATTACGCAATAACGACTAATTTTAGTAAAGTGTAAAGGAAAAAAAATGAATGACAAAATGAATACAAAGATTATTATAAGAATATTTTTAATGAAAAATTTTTTTGAAAAATTCTCAGCAGAAAAAAAGGAAGAATACGTATATTTAATAAAAGTAAAAATGACTTTGTCTCTGTGGGTGAAATGAAAATTTCTTTGTATTTATAAATCAACATGAATTTCATTATTTTACTCGCAAAAGCTTAAATTAATTTTTCCTTTTCTTTTTCTATTTCAACAGAAAAGGGAGCTTCAAGTAAATTGTCCGCTGAAAGCGGGAAAATAAGCGCAATGACCAAATGCATCGAATTTCTAGCTACCTTGAGTTCCTTTCTGTTGGTCTTAATCACCCTTCCGTTTTCGCTCTGTTTCACATTTAAAATAGTCCAGGAATACGAAAGAGCCGTGGTATTTCGAATGGGTCGTTTAAAAGGTGGTGCTCGCGGTCCAGGTAATTAGTCCCGACAAAAACTATATACATATATACCAACTAAACTTAATACTCTATTCGTTTATATATGAGATATTACAAAGAAAAACTATTTTTTCTTATTTTTTTTTCTTATTTTACAAAATCTATTTTGTTTTCTACAAAGAAAAATTTTTTTTAATAAAATTTAAAAATCTAAAAATTATTTTGAAATTAGAAAACTTCCTGAAGAAATTTGAAAGAAAAACTTTTATTGTACACTGAACAAAATTTATTTGATTCAAATAATATTTTATTTATAAATAAAAAAATAAATAAAATAATAAAATAAAATAATTTATAATAAAATAATAATAATAATAATAATAATAAATAATAATTTATAATAAAATAATTTATAATAAATAAAATTTATACTTGAACCAATAATTTCACTATTAGAAGCAAATAACATCTAATTGACTTGTATTGATATAGATTTAGTTTTAAATCAATGTGTCAATATATTGAAATACGCGCTTAATACTACCGCGCAATGTTTGTGCGCAGATAATTTTCTTTTTATGTTCAGTCGCGTGTAGAACGCCATGGACAATGTTCCATATGTATTTTTGATTGCCTTTGTCTATTAACATTTTACTCTTAATAATAAATGTATATTTGTTCATATACCTGAAGTATATTCTTTCCGTGTATCCTGAGGTTAAAATTACAACAACTTGAATAAAAATTATTTGATTCAAGTAAATATTTATTTGATAATAAATAAGTAATCGTTTAGTTAGATCAAATAAATTTTTTTCCAGTGTAAAAAAAATACTCAACGACTGAAAATAAATAATACGATAGAATTTTTAAGAAAATAATTTTCAGAAAAATTTTGTTAAAATAAAAATACGATAGTATTTTTATATATGATTGCGTTTTATTTTCATTTTTTGTTTTTCGCTTTCTCAGAAATTTGGATTATGAAAAAAAAATTAATTATATTCCTTCTCATCACTACACCCAAAAAAAACGTTTTATTTGAACCAAATATAATTTATTTGAATCAAATGAAAGTATAATTGTCATAAAGTCTACAAAATTATTTATTTCTCTTAAATAAAACGTTTATTTAGCACAAAGGAAAGTTTTATTTGCATCAAATAAAATTTATTTGAACCAAATAAAATTTATTTGAACCAAATAAAGTTCATTTCAATCAAATAAAATTTAATTGAAACAAATAAAAGTTCTTTGAGACAAATAAAGTTTATATAAACCAAATTAAGTTTATTTGAACCAATTAAAATTTATTTGAACTCTAACTAAAAAATTTTTTTGAATCAAATAAAATTTATTTGTACCAAATATAATATATATAAACGAACTAAAATTTATTTGAACCAAATAAAGTTCATTTCATCCAAATGAAAATTTAATTGAAACAAATAAAATATGTTTGATTCAAAAAAAGTATATTTAAACCAAATAAAGTTTATTTGAACCAAATAAAAATTATTTGAACCAAATAAAGTTTATCTGAACCAAATGAAATTATTTGAATCAAATTAATTTCATTTGAACTGATTTAAGTTTTTTTGAACCAATTTAAATTTATTTGAACCAAATGAACTTTCTTTGAATCAAATAAAATTTCTTTGAACCAAACAAAATATATTTAAACCAACCAAAAATTTATTTGCGCCAACTAAATAATTTAGTAGGCTCTGACTGAAATATATCTTCACCTCCGAGTGTAATGTGAGGGTATTTTGACTTTTCATCATTTTTCATTTCTCGTGTTTTTAGGAATGTTTTTTGTGCTTCCTTGTGTGGATAACTGCATCCTAGTGGATTTAAGGACCGTGTCATTTGATGTTCCACCTCAAGAAGTACTTACTAAAGATTCAGTAACCGTCAGCGTGGATGCTGTCGTGTATTACAGAATAAAAGAACCCTTAAGTGCTGTCGTCAAAATAGCAAACTACAGGTAGTAGAATTTTATTTTCTCTTTTTTTTTTAACAAATTCGTATCGAATTAAAGTAAAATAAAATTTCCATTTATTTGACGCACTGAAAAAAAAATTTTGAAAATCTATTTTTCATTTTGTTTCTTAAATTTACAGTATATTTTAGAATTAAAAATATGTTTTTTTCAAAAAATTTCATTTCTGAAATATATTCAGAATTTAAATATTTATTTAATACATTTTTACTAAATTTTGGTTTTCAGGAATATATTTCAAATTCAAAAATTAATTTCTCTCAAACATTAAGGTTTCAAAAATTCAGTTCATACATTTTAGTTTATAAAAATTTAGCTTTCAAAAATTTATTTTAAATTCAGAAAAATTGTTCTGAACAATTTAGTTTTTAAAAATTTAGTTCATAAAAATTTAGTTTTCAAGAACATATTTTAAGTTTAAAAATTTACCAAATAATTGACAAAAACAAAATAAATAATTAATTATAAATTGAAATTTTCAACATTGAAAAATGTAATACAGTTTTAAAAATATATTCTCCTATTTTCGGAGAAATAAAGTAACAAAACAAATACATTATCCCTATTTTCGGAAATATTTTGAAGCAAAAAAAAAAAATTGAAATAAAAAATACCAAATCATAAAATAGCTAAAAATGAAAACTAACAGAAAATTCTTTTTTTTTCCATTTTGTTTTTTTTCTTTCCTCCTGAAATGTACGGTCGAACGATAAATATTTTTAGAGCAATGTGTTTCGAGAGGAAAAGCATTTTATCTAAATCCAGTGATGCAAATATTTATCACTGTTGTTGTTCCGTTGGGTATTCGTTTGTAACTGATGATGAAACTATTCGCAATTAAAATAGATTGCTCGTTTACGAAAACTTGAAACAACGCTTATAGCATTATAGAATTTTGTGATTTGTCAAAAAAAAAAAAAAAAAAAAAAAAAAATTGGGAAAAATCTAAAAACAACGAGAAGTAAAAAAAACATTTAGTTCATATATATAGCTATTTTTTTATACATCAGGAAAAGTCTTGCGCTTGGGTAAATAAAAAATATCGCTCAGGGATCTGTGACCGTGAAATTAGAATATACGCGATGCCAGCACGTGTTTTTCAAGCAGAGGAAGAGAGCAGTAGTGACTAACTTTATTACATTCACAGAGCAAAAAAAAAAAAGAGAAAGAATAAAACAAAACTCTCGACTACTTCGAAAAAAGAAACTTGTCCACAACTAACGAACATGAATAATCTGCACTTTTTTCTCATTATCGTGTATATATATACGGAAAAAGGATTTACTTTTATTTGAAAAAATAAACTGTTTGGTATTTTTAAGCTGAAAATTTTTTTTTTATATATAATTATCGAATGGAATATTATAGAATAAAAATTAGAAAATAGAAAATTTTTAAATTTAAAACGTCAAAAAAACACAGAAAAAAGATTTAACTGCAACAGAGAAAAGTTCATTTAAAAATAGCCAGTCTTAATTAAAACAACTAAAAATTTCGCTAATACAGTGAAATTTTTAGCTTTTTCAGGTAAATATTTTTTCCCTGAACTAATAATATAAAGAAATAGGAATGTAAAAATATATTTTGATTCAGACTGTGCTGTTACTTATCAAAAATTATTTTCAAGATTTTAATTTAATTATTTTCTAGAATTTATAATAAAAATTATTCTCTATGTCAATTATAAAAGCAATTATTTTTTCAATAATTTTTAAAAAAGTTCTTTGACAATTCAATTATTCAAAGGAAAAGAAAAGAAAATTCACCTAAAATAATTCTGAAATCCATTTCCTTAAAATTTAATTTGACTATAGATTTCAATTATTAGAAAATTCAAACAATTTCAAAATATTTGGAATACAAATTTTTCAAAAAAAAAACTAACTTCTTTATATTTTTTAATTAAAATTGTATAAAATTTAAATTTTCGGAAATTTCAAATTGAATTAAATTATTCAAAGTAAATTCAATTTTTATTTAGGTTCAATTATTGTAAATTTAAATTATTATCAGAAATAAAAAAAACTTTTAAAATTTTGTATTAAATTTTGTGGTGATTTCAAAGTTTTATGAGAAACAAAAAAAAATTAAGACGAATTAAATCTTGTCAATAATTTCAATCGTTGCTAGACACCAAAATCCAGAAATTTTCTTATCAATTCTAGGAATTAAATATTTTTCCAAAACTTTTGATTTTTGGGTTACTTTACTTTCTAAATTTCAAAGGTATCAAATTGAAATTTTTTAAAATTTTAATTTTCAATAATTTTAATTAAAAATCCAGAAGATCTTAGTTTTTAAAAAAAATTTTGTTTTTTAATTTTTTAGAAATAAATTTAATTTTTGAAAATATTGTATTTTATTAAAAAATTTAATTGAAAACACTTCAATTTTAGACGTATAATTTTAAATGAAATTTCAATTTGTTTATAATTCGAATTCTCAAAATTACTAAAAATAAAATAAACTTTAAAGAATAATTTTATTTAAAATTATAAAAAATAATTGAATTTTGGAAGAATTGTGTTGCAATTTTTAGAAATAATTAAACTTCAAAAGATTTGAAATTGTAATTTTTTAAAATTTTAGTTCTTGTGGAAAATAAATAACAATGAGAATTGAAAAATGAATAAAAATTAATTTTTCAAATTAAACAATAAGCAATTAAAATAATTTAACAAAATTACTGAAACATTGAATAATTTAATTTAGAAATTCTTAAATAATTAGATTTCTAAAAAAATTTAATTAAAATTTCTCCAAGAAAATTAAATTTCCGAAAACAATTAGTTGAAAAATATTTAAATATAATTGAATAATTCGTTAAATTTTATTAAAATAAATTTTATATTTTAAAGAAATTATTGTCCTTTTGAAAAATAGGCTTGTTTTTGAAGATACTAAAAATATTTAAAAATTTGAGAAAATTATTTTAAAATCATTAAATTTCAAAAATGTCAAAAACTAAAAAAAAAGAAACTTACGCTAAAATGACTAATTTCAGGTGTTGACAGATTAAATAAATCGACGATTATTCTGAGCAATAATTATATGACAATAAATTTACATAAATAATTTTACATAACTATTTAAATAAATTTACATAAATATTTAAATAAATAATAAAAATTGTATATTTTTATCTTCAAATGGGAAATTTTTAACTTAAAAAAATTTATAATCAACAGAATAATTCGAAAAAATGATACTAGATAATGTAACTTTATTAACAGTAGTAAAATAATTTTTAGTCAGACGGTACTATTTTTAATTTCTGAAAAACCAATATTTGTAGAGTAAGAAGAAAATGTAGTTCCAACAAAATGTTTAATCAATGTATGCAATTTTATGCACCAGTAATAAAAGCTAATTGCACTCAGACGAAGCATTTTAATTTGTGTAAATTTTGATATTAGTAAAAAAAAAAACTTTCAGTCCGAAAATGTGTTCTAATTGTGAAAAAGTAGTAAAAAAATAAAATAAGTAGTAAAAAAAACTGAAAGTTTTTTTTACTACTTATTTTATTTTTTTACCATCAGTCAGACAATGCGTAAAAAAAACTTTCAATTTTTTTACTACTTATTTTATTTTAAACTTTCAGTCAGACAATGCGTTCTAGTTCTTGAAAATCAGTAAAAAAAATAAAAAATGAAGACAGAAGAGAATTGTGTTAAAAATCCAAAAAAGGGAAAAAAGAGATAATCAATTTTAAAAACGAGGATTAATATAATACTTTTCTTTTATTTCTTTTTCGACTGTCAGAATGGGTAAAAAAACTTTGAAAAGTTTAAAAGCAAAATATAGAAACAAATATTTTGATCTATACTTCGATTATATATAAAATATTAACAAGAATTTCTTTTTGAGAGCTTTTTCAGCTTCGCGGCTTTTATTACTTAATTTTCACGAATATAACGTTTATTCTCTTTGGCATTTCATTTCCCAAAGCCTCTCGACAAGATTATTGGCAGCCAGTACATTACGCACTGTACTTGGAACGAGGAGTCTGGCTGAGATTCTGGCCGAGCGAGAAACGATTTCTCACACCATGCAGACGTCCCTTGACGAAGCCACGGATCCATGGGGCGTCGAGGTCGAGAGAGTTGAGATGTAAATACTGAAAATTTAAATTTCTAAAATAAACATATGCCACGCCATCAACGATCCTTCATATATTTTCCCCTTTTCTTTTTTTTTAAATAAAATTTTCTTCATTTACACGCCAAGTTTACTATTTAATATTCAAAAAAAAAAGTAGAAAAGAATTTAAAGCAAAAATTTTCTGCAATCAGCATCTTTTTATTTTATACAATAAGAATAAAATCTCGTGATAATGTGTAAAATTAGAGGAAGAGAAATTTTTTTTACTGAGAAACCAATTTTCATAATTTTAAATCCGTTAAAACCGATTACCACGAACTTAATCATCTTATAATACATATACATGAATTGCTTACGCTTCTAATTTTAATTAAAAGCCAAAGATTACGATGTGGTGGTTGAATTTCTTTTTTAGGAGAGAAAATTATTACCTTGGGTAGTTCATTTCCTATTATGTTCCAGAACATAAATTTCTTCTTCATTTAGCTGTTTTTTCGATTTTTTTTTTAATTTTCATTTATATTTTATATTTGTACATTAATATTTAGTTATAATTAATTAACAAAAGCAAAATGTCAGCCACTGATTCAAATTAAAAAATATTTTTATACTAATTTAAATTTAGAGTTATATTTTATAAGATATTTTTATTTTTTAGTAATTAATTAAGAAAACTGTCATACGAAAACGTAAATTATAAGATCTAAAAGATATGAAGACTTACAAGTAGAAAAAATATTTTTTAGTCAGACAAAAACATAGTTTTTAATAAGTTAAGAAAAGCTAAATAGAAAATGATAAATTTTAAAAAGTAGAAATCCAATGTTTTTACCCTTATTCTTCCGAAAAGTTGATAAAATTGAATTTATAATTTTCTATAAGTAGAAAAAGTAGAGTTTAGTCAGACAAACAATTTTTTTTAGTAACTGAAGAAATCTTATAAAAAAAATTTTTTTGCTCTGATTTTTTAAAGTTGTCCTGTCATTGCTATAAGTGGAAAAATTATGAATTAGTCAGACGAAAAACATTTTTAATAACTAAAGAAATAGTATAGAAAATAAAAACTTTTTAAAAGTCGAAAACCAATTTTTTTTGTCCTGATATATTTTATAAGTATTTAAAGCTGTTCTGTCAAAACATTAAGTAGTGAAAGTATGGTTTCGTCAGACCAAACATTTTTCCTTCAGTAACTAAAGAATTCTTATTGAAGATCATAGCATTTTAAAAGTAGAAAACCAATTTTTTGCCCTAACTTTTTAAAAGTTGTCCTATCAAGTCTTTAAGCAGAAAAAGTATCGTAAAGTAAAACTAAAATTTTTTCTTTACTAAGTAAAGAATTCTTCTTTAAAATCGGAGCTTTTGAAAAATAGAAAACCAATTTTTAGCCCAAATTTTTTATTAAAGTTGTTCCGCCAAGACTTTGAGTAGAAAAATTATGATTTAGTCAGACAAACTAGTTTTTTAGCTAGATTTTAAATTTTTAGAATAAATCTTATGGAAAATTATAACTTTTATATAGAAAACTTTATAAAAATAAAACTTTATATAAAAATTCCTTGCACTAATTAATTTTGTCGGTACTTAAACTTATTTTGTCTAGACTTTAAGTAGAAAAAGTATCAACTAGCCAGACAAAAACTTTTCTTTTAGTAACAAGAAAATTCTTATTGAAACTGAGAAGTATATAAAAATAGAAAATCAATTTTTTTTTTGCCCAAATTTTATTTGTAAGGTGATAAATCGCCTTGTGAAGGCCGTAAGTAGAAAGAGTATAGTTTAGTCAGACAAACAATTTTTTTTAGTAACTGAAGAAATCGTATAGAAAATAATAATAACTTTTTGAAAGAAGTAAACCAAATCATTACAGTAATTTATTGTGTCAGTAGATAAACTTGTTTTGTCAAGATTTCAAGTAGTAAAAGTATGGTTTGGTCAGACAAAAAATTTTCTTTCAAAAACTAAAGAATTATTTTTCAAGATTGTAAACTTTCTAAAAGTAAAAAAACATTTTTTTGCTCTAATTTTTTTTTTAAATTTTCCTGTAAAGTATGTGAGTAGAACAATTATTATTTTGTCAGACAAACAATTTTTTTTAATGACTAAAGAAGTTTTACAAAAAATAATATTTCAATTAACTTGAAAATAAGATTTCAGTTCATTAACTTAAAAATTCGGATTTTTAAAATAACTCGGTTTACAAGTAGAAAAAGTCCAATTTCGTCAGACAAATTAAATTCCTTATTAAATTCCTTATTATTTCTATTGTTATAAAAAAATGAAAATTTTAAGAATACAAATGAAAGAAACAAATATGTAGAAATTAATTTCCTTCTACTACTCGAATTTTTTAGGTAGTTGGAATTTTCATAAGTCAACAAGTAGAATAAATACAGTTTAGTCAGACAACAATTTTCTCTTAAAATAATTCCAAGTCGTTTTGCAATCAATCAATGTTTATTTTCTTAGAAGAACAGTTGTTTTTAACGACAATTTTCTTTTGTAAAATATATTTTAAAATTTTTTCAAAATTGTCTCCTGAAAGCAAAAAAAAATCACTTCAAAAGTAGTAAAATTTTAGTTTAGTCAGACATTAACAACTTTTTAAATAGCAAAAAATTAATAAATAAAATGAACTCTCTTTTTTAATGTAACATTTGAGATTAAATTTATAATTCTAAGTATATTTAAAATTAGAAAAAAAATAATATATAATAATAATAGAAAAAAATAATCTCAAAAGGAAAATGATAAATACACCCTTGAAAATTCGCATCTTTTAATAAGAAGAAAAAAAGAAAAAACAAAAACTTCGTCTCTACTGCTTTTTGTTTGATTTAGAAAAGACGTTCGACTTCCTGTACAACTTCAACGAGGAATGGCCGCAGAGGCGGAAGCCGCCAGAGAAGCAAGAGCCAAAGTGATTGCCGCTGAAGGAGAAATGCGAGCTTCCCGTGCTCTAAAGGAAGCTAGTGATGTCATTTCCATGAGTCCTGCTGCTCTACAGGTATTTAATATGGGATTAACAACAAAAGGAAAGCTGATTATGTCTGATAATGCTATTGTTCTACCTGCAACTGCTATTGTTAACTTACCTCCATTATCATTTCGTGTCTATACATACACACACACACACACATACATACATACATACACATTTAATATGTGTTATTCAAATATTTATTTTAAATATTTTGCTTTTTATTTCAATATTTCAAATATTCGAAATAAATATGAAAATAATGAAGTACTAATTTACTAACAATAATAATTATTATTATTAAATTATTTAAATATTTATTTTTATTTTGTTTTCATTTCTATTTTTACAATATTATCTAGATATCAATAATAATAATAAAAATATTCTTATATTATTATATACGAATTACTCTTTAAATTTGAATTAGTGACTGAATTTTTGCTTTTGAGTTAGTAAATCTTACTATTAAATAATAATTTCCACTTATTAGTAAAACTAACAACAATATATATATAATAATAATAAATTTAATTGAAAATGAAACTGAAAATTTTTGAATCTTTAAAAAATTTAAAGGAAAAAATGTTATTGAAAAAAATGTTCTGTTAGATTTATTTACGAATATCTTTAATTGTAAAATTATTGGAAAACAATAATTTCATTTTTAAATATTTCAAATATTTAATTATAATTTTTTCATAGGATTTAAGGTTTTCAAAAATTTCAAATTCAAACCTTTTTCAAATTAAACAACTTTAAAAATTTATTTATAATAATTAAAAATGAACTTCTTAATAATTACTTTCGTATTGTATTATTATCTAAAATTTAAAATAAAATTCATTTTCAAATAAATTTTTATTAGAAAATTCTACGAGAATATTCAATTATTTAAATAAAAAAATAAATTATTTATTGAATAATTGAACGTTTCTTAAAATTTAATTCTTATAAAGAATTTTATTGGCAAATTTTTAAATAATTGAATTCTTTTGACGAACTTTAATAAAAAAATTTAGAATAGTTACATTTTTTTCAAGAATTCGATTAAAATTTTATGAAAAATAATTGAATTATTATTGAGAAGAAACTTATAAATAAATTTGTAAATATTAGAATTCCTGTGAAATTTTTATTATTCATGAAAATAATTAAATGTTGTCGTACAAGTTTATTAAAAAATTTTTTTTTTTTTAATAATTGAATTCTTTTGGGTAATTTTATTAATTTTGAAAATAATTTAATTTCTGCAATCATTTGTAACTTCCTCAAAATTCAATTTTTTTAGTATTTTTAACTAAAACTCTTCTATAAATCCATTATTTTTAATAATTAATTAAATATACATAATGACAAAATTTAACTAATTTTAGAAGATTTTGAATTATTAAAAATTTTCAATAATTTAAGTTCTTTAAAATTTCTAATTCTAAATTCATTAAAAATTGAAATTTTATAAAATTTTAAATTAAAATCTTTTGAAGTTCAATTATTTATGAAAATTGTAAACGCAACTCTTTTGAAATTGAATTAATTTTGAAATATTTAGGTAAAATTATTTATTAAATAATTTATTTATTTCATGAATTTTCTTATGAATTCTAAAAATTTAATTTTTTTCAGTTAATAAAAATCTCTGACTATTCCTGAATTCCCTACGTCAGAATATATGATTATTATAATTATAATAATAAATACATTCCAATGCATATTTTATTTTTATAAAAAAAATGGAATTAAAAATTTTTACGTTCTATTATTTTTAAAATTATTGCTAATTTTATTTAAAAGAGTGAGTGAGAAGTCAGTTGCGCGCGAATTGTTGCTAGTATTTATTTTAATAATAATTTAATAATTTAATAACTGAAAAAAAATTAAACTTTTTTTTTTCTTAAATTTTCGACTAATTTCTGTAAATAATTAACATTTGTTAATTAACACTCACGTCTTTTATTTTTCCTCTGTTTAATACAGTTGAGATATCTACAAACTCTGAATAATATCTCTGCAGAAAAGAACTCGACAATCATTTTTCCATTTCCTCTGGACTGGCTCACTTCGTTTCTCAGTTTTAGACAAGAATCGCAGTCGTAATTTATATGAGAAAAAAATATGAATTTCAATTAAGAAGTAGACAATTAAAAAAAGAGAGACATTATCCCAAAAAAAATCCTCAAACAATTCCATTTTTTTCACCATAAAATATAATTTCTCTAAATTGAAAATTAAAAAGAAATAAAGATATGAAGAAAAATATCAATTACAATTTAAATGTAATTTAATTAATTTTACCGCAATAACGAACAAACAGATAATATTTGAAAACTGAATGCAATATGTATACTAATATAATTAAAGTAAAATTATATTTCTGTATATGTAAATATAACTTTGCGGTGGGTTGCTTATAGTGAATATTAAATATTTTACTCATAAGCATATATTTATAAATTTTATAATTCGCATATTAATATTTATTTTTCCATTTTACGAACGGCAGGTGAAATTTTATTTATTTTTGTAATGAAAGCATCATCTAGAATTGAGGAAAGAAGGAAAGGGAGGGGGAAACGTTCAATAAATCGAACAGTGAAAATATTAATTGAAATTCGTCAGAGTAACCTCACAAGGCAAACTTTGACATGTTTAAATTGATGTTGGCAAAGCGCTGGCGTTTTGTGTAAATAAATAGTGTATGCAAACTGTATAAGTAAATTTAGAATTTCTACTTTGTAAATTATAATACATTATACTTTTCTTTTTGGATATTTTCGATTAGATTTTTCCTCCTGTAATCCATTATTAAATGTATATTTCTATTTTTTAATTTTTATATTTAATTATAAGGAATTTTTCTCTTAAAATTTAAATTAGTTAAAAATAACTAATTATCAGTAAAATCGTGGCTGACTTTTTGCTTCAGCAATTAATTTTTAAATTAAAAAAAAAATTTTTTCTCTGTGTAGTTTAGAAATTTTAGTTATAAACTATAAGTGAATAAGTAATTATTTTTATTATTAATATTATTAACAATTTTTTCAAGGAAATTGAAAAATCCAAATGGATGTACAATGAAATAAATATTTTACTATTTTATAATTGTTGATTAGTTACATTATAATTATAATTAATAAAAATTACTATATTATTGTACTATAATAAATTATGCTTTTACTATAATTTTTTTATAATATATGATATAAATTAATAGGTTATTAATTACCTTCGGTTGTAATAGGTAATAAGTTGTATTTACAATTCAGCATAATGTCGAAAAAACAATATACATAATTGAAATAATAATTTGCAGCTAAAAAATGTCTAATTTAATTGGATCCGTTTGTTTTTAATTAATCTCGCATATTCCCCTTTTCAAGAATCATGCGCTCTCTTGTATGCGTATTTAAATTGGAAATTGCATCCATGGCCCAGAGGAAAGATTGTGAAGTTTCTTAAATCAATAAAGATTAAACTCCATCGCGCCTGAAATGCCTCTCTGGCTATCTAAATTAAGAAGCTTCTGTTTTAATCTTTCGGAGATTTTGCTTTTAATTAAATTAAAACCACGTTCAAATATCGGTCAATAATTATTATTCAATTTCATTCATTTATTTTTACACGGACCACCAAAAAAAAAAAAAAAAAGTATAACATTACTTTTCTCATCAGTGTTTCGAAAGTAGATTTTTTTTCCGTCAGATTGCTTGTTTAATTAATGCGTAGTGTTTTTTTTCTTGTAATTATTACTATTTTTCCATAATGCCATTGTTTTGTTCGTATTGAAAAGCCATTCATTTTCTTTTATTTCTCATTATTTTTAACAAGAGTTGGGGAAATGATATTAAAATTTACAATAAAATTAAAAATTATAAGAAAAAATTTCCTTTAAAACACAGAATACTCTATATTAACATTCCTGAAATATTCTATTGGAGCTGTAGAAATATTCCTTTAAAATAATTCCATATACATTTAATTCTTGTGAAGAATTAGATTAAAATTTTTGAAAGTAATTAAATTGTTTCGAAAAATTTTATTAAAATTGTTGAAAGTAATTAAATTGTTTCGACAAATTTTATTAAAATTTTTGAAAGTAATTAAATTGTTTTAAAAAATGTTAGTAAAATTTTTGAAAATATTTAAACTGTGACGAAGAATTTTATTAAAATTTTTGAAAATAATAATCTTCTATAATTAATAATCATTGTATTACGGTAATATGTTATTCGCAGTTTGATGTTAGTTGTTAATTGCTTTTTTATTTTCTAACTTTTTTAATAATTTTTCTTCTTAAATGTTTTCAATTTTAAAATTAATGTATTGAAAATCATTGAATTCTTGCAGAAAATTTTATCAAAAAAAAAATTGAAAATTATTGATTCCTTCGAAGAAATTTATCACTTATGAAAATAATTGACTCCTTGCGAAGAATTTTATAAAAAATTTTAATAATCTTAAATTATTTAAATTTAATTAATTTTTTTTTCAAGTAATAGAGTTTTTTTTAATAATTTTAATTGAAAATTTTGAAAGTCATTGAATTGTATGAAGAATTTCTTTCAAATTTTTTAAATAAGTAGTCGTATTTGTTAGTAATTGAAATTAAATATTTGATTATCGTATTTTATTAAAATTTTTATAAATAAAATTCTAAACAATTTTATTTGAGTTTCTGTAAAGAAATAAATTTATTTAAAGAATTTCTTAAGGTTTTTTTGAAAATAATGTAGTTTTTTAAATAATTTTAATTGTAAATTTTGAAAATTGAATTAAACAAATTTTTTTTAACTTTTTAAAATAATCCTGTCTGTTAATAATTGTAATTAAAAATTTGTTTATTGAATTTTATTAAAATTTTATTGAAAGTAATTTAATTACGGAGAAGAATTATAATATTTGTAAAAATAATTAAATTTTTTCGACAAATATTTTATTAAAAATTTTTAAAAATAATTAAATTCTTATGAGGAATTTTATTAAATTTGTTATTGATAATCTTAATTAAATTCTTGTGAAGAATTTGAATTTTTTTCAAATAATGGAGTTTCTTTAATAATTTTACTTGAAAATTTTCCTAATTGAATTTTATAAAGAATTTCTTTCAAAATTTTAAAATAATCCTGTTTGTTAATAATTGATATTAAAATTACGATTATTGTATATTTTATTTAAAATTCTTTAAAAATAATTAAATTATTCTCAGAATTTTATTCCAATTTTTTAAAATAATTTAATTATTTGCAGAATTTTATTAAAATATTGAAAATAATTGAATTCTTTCAAAAAATTGAAGACATTTTTTGAGTATAATAATTGATGTTCTATATAATTCTTTGGAGGATTTTCTTAAAGTTCTTTTTTGAAAATAATGTAGTTTTGTAAATAATTTTCATTGGAAATTTTAAAAATAATTGAATTGAACAAATTTTTTTTCAAACTTTTAAAAATAATCGTGTCTTTTAATACTATTTGTAATCAAAAATTTGATTATTGGATTTTATTAAAATTAAATTGAATTCCTGAGAAAAATTTTATTTTTTGTAAAAATAATTGAATTGTTTTGAAGAATTTATTAAAAATTTTAGAAAATAAGTGGATTCTTTTGTCAAAATTTCATTAACATTGAATTAAAAATAATTGAATTCCTGGAAAGAATATTTTACTATTTATAAAAATAATTGAATTCTTCCGAAGAGTGTTATTATTTATGAAAATAATTGTATTTTGGCAATGAATTTTATTAAATTTTTCGAAAATATTAAACAATAATAATTAATTATGTACTTAAAAAGTGGATTTTTAAAATTTTGAATCTGAAATTATTCAATAATTTATATTTGGAAATAAAAAATTTTGTAATTTGCATAATAGTAATAAATTGAATAACACGTTTCGCTCGCTAGCGCGCGTAACATTTGCTAGTAAATAATAAAAATCAATTAATTAATTAATAAGTTATTTTTCAAAAAGTTTTGATTCTGATTTAAAAAATTAGTTTTTTACGAGGGTAATTTTTTTTTTGTTATTTTAACACCAAATTCGGTGTTAAAATAACACTTTTCATTTTCTATGGCTATAATTTAAGAAAATCTTTTATAAAACTAAAAATTTGTAATCTATTCTCATAACTGAATTTAATTTTCATTATTTTTTTGTTTAAATTATAAATATAAGCTTGTAAAGAAAAAACAAAAGTACGACGTTAGTATATAGTATACACCCGGCTTTTGTAAACTCTCCTATACCGGTAATAAAAACAGCTTGGCGATATTAATGTCGATAAAGTTTTGCGCTTGTAAACTGTGTCTGTGTGTGTGTGTGTGCGTGGGGGGTAAGTGTATATATTCATGACATGAACGATATGAGTTTGAGAAAGTTTTAATTTTTGCGCTCACCCCGCGTGAAAACCATATATATTCTCGCACCCCTATATATACTATATATGTATATACATATATATATATATAGGAAATGCTAAAGGGATATATGTTTTAAAGACGAGCAAGAATGAACATTCGTTTTTCGAATAGTATATTACGTCTTGGTCACGTTTCTTCGTCGCGTTATTCCACTCAAGAACTTTGCAGAAATACTCGTGGAACTGAATTCCACTGGTAACATTATTCACTCGTTCGGTGAAGGGCAAAGCGAGCGCGAGCGGGGTGCTACTTTTTACCTTTGAGAAATCATTTTCAATGTGAAGAAAATCTCCATTCATTTTGAATCATTAAAGAGGACTGGAAATTTAATCCAACATTGGATCTGATTTACTTTTCTCTTTTTTTTTCTCTCGCTCTCTCTCTCTCTTTCTCTCTTTTATTTTAATGTAAAATCTTTTCAGATATTATGTAAATTAATTTTTTTCCCTTGGATATACTTTTTTAAAAATATTTTTTCAAACCAGATGAATTGTTTCAATATTATTTCAACGGATATTTGATTATTTATTTAAAATATTATTTATACGGACTTTTCTCCAAAATTAATTTTTAAATTAATTTTTATTTAATTTTTTTAAATTCGAATTAATAACAATGATTGCGAATAGAATAAAAAGTAAATAGAAATAGAAAAAAATTAAATAAAAATAGAAAAAAGTAAATAAGACAATTTAATTAATTAAAATTTTTCAAACGTGAAATATAATTTAAGCGCGAATTATTTTCTTTATTATGGCGGGGAAATTAAAA